CTGTGATGACGTTGATGTCAGGATACATGCTTTCACACAGCTCCACGGCGTGGCTGTCCCTCTCAAACGCTTCACGGAGCTCCTTCTTTACCGCCGCTGAGCCACACAGACGATAGAGACCGACCACCTGGGATCACACGCACAAACACAGGTGTCACAACTACTACAGTTATCAGGTAGAGGTATAGATGCTATGGTTTAAATGGATGCTGCAGTACAGCGCTTTGGTCTGGTGTGGGAGTTATTTAATTATTAAAAAAAAGTTGGACTGGCACAAAAGAGCAATAAGAGCCTTTTAGTGCACCCATAAAGCATGTTACACCCCCGAATGATAGTTAACTGCTGCTTTATTTGTATTTCCTTCTCTCGTTCTTTAGGATTTAATCGGTTTCTTATCTTGATGTGTACTTAGTAACACTGAGATAAAAAATAGTGAATACATTTTGTCCTTTTGCAGAGGGAATGTGAGGCAGAGGCAGATTTTCCTGTAAACAGCGATAATCATGCTGAGTTCAGACTTATAATCAACATGTATTTAATGCTTGAGCTTTTGTAATATGAACTACTTATTGCATGGCAACATAATAAACGTCAGACCCAACTTTAATAAAAAGGATCTTTGATCACACATCTGCAGACCGATCAGATGTCCTTACACACATTATCTAGATCTTATTGCTGTTTAAAGATAAAAAAAAGCCCTTTTACAAAAAGCTAATCCTATTTAAATCGGTGCTCTTTCCGTTTGCAGGACCGAATGATGATCTTCTTGTAAAGTTTGATTTCTTATGGTAAATTATTTTATGTGATTCATTCATCCATTTTCTTCCGCTTGTCCGGGGTTGGGTGGAGGGGGCAGCCGCCTAAGCTGAGATGCCTCATGGACACCTCCCTGGTGAGGGTTTCCAGGCACATCCAACTGGGAGGAGACCCAAGGGAAGACCCAGGACACGCTGGAGGGACTACGTCTCATGGCTGGCCAGGGAACGCCTTAGGATTCTCCCAGAGGAGCTGGCCCAGGTGGCTGGGGAGAGAGTGGCCTTGGGTCTCCCAGCGGCTGCTCGTATCCGCGATCTCGTTCTTTCGATCACTACCCAAAGCCCTAGAGGGTTGGAACTTAAAATGTAAACATTGTCCGTGCAAATGATGACAACTACTTCAATTTAAGATGGCCATTTGCCCCAGCAAATGAAAATGTCTCTAAACCAAAACCTCAGATTTGTAATATTGGTATGTATATGTATACGGTATGTAAAAGCTTTTTGATTGAAAGAGTCAAAACCGACACCGATTGACCAAAAATGTTTGGAAGGCTGATAATATCAGACATCATCATCAGTGTTGGGGCCCCATCCTGCACCGTCTCAGACTGAGGCCCTGTCCACACGTAGCCGGGGATCTGCCAAAACGTAGATATTTTCCTACGTTTTGGCCTGTCATCCACACGAAAACGGAGTTTTTTCACACAAAAACTGATCTTTTTAAAAACTCCGGCCAAAGTGAAGATCTGCGTTTTCTCTGTTTTGGGTGTCTGCGTGTGGACGGACAAAACCGGAGTTTTAAGGTCCGCAGCGTCACTTTCCGCGACAAAAAAATGCTGACATCACGTGTGCGATTTTTTTTTACACTAGCCGGCATCATGGAAGCCCTCAGAGCTGCGCTCTGTCACTACCCGATCCATCAGTTGTCCAAGCGCTTTCTGCTTGTTTGTTTTTGCAAGTGGAGTTACTGCTCCTTGCGGAAGACCACAGACGAAGGACGAGGTTAAGAACGGGGGAAGTACTGCCGCCTACAGGTCTGGCATGTCCTTAACAACGTATTTATCCGGGTACGTGTGGACAGAGTTTGTTTTTAAAACGCGGTGGTGTGGATGCAAGTTTTTGGAGGGGCGGATATTCGTTTTTAAAAAACCCCGGCTACGTGTGGACTAGGCCTGAGAAAGTTTAAAACATTGTGGGGAATCAAAAAACTTTAAGGAGTGAAGAGAAATAAAAAGTTCTCTGGGGTCTGACGAAAGTGTCACACTGTGACAGCAGTGTCTGTCACCTCAGTGACTTGGAGTTTCCCATGGAGTCTCACACCTGCAGCTCATCTCCTCAGGAAGCCTAATCAGCACTCCAGGGATCTACCAACTCCCAAGGGAGGGGAGATTCATGTTTATGCTTGTGTTTAATTTAATGAAGATGTTTTCTGTTATGGATAGGAAGTTTGTAATCATGATTTAGTTATTTGAGTTACCTGAATTGATTAGACTGGTTAGTTTGTGAGTGTGTGAGGATGTGTGTGTTAATTGTATGTTAATTGTTCCCCTCTTGTATGTAGAGTGGTCTGATCAGCCACTTTTTAAGTTGAACCTGGTGTGTCTGAAATGTTTTTTTTTTCTTTTTTTTCTGGATAGAGTGTCTTGTGCTGTGATTAGGTTAAAGTTCCTGTTAACTTTGGAGCTGCTCCAAAATAAAATGGAGTTTGAGTCTCATGAGCAGTGCTTCTCTGGCTGGTTTGTGCACGTCCCTGACACAAACCCTTCTGATGGAGCGGATAAACACTGAGCTCCTCTAAAGACCCAGGTGACAACTGAGCATTAAAAATGAAAGCCATGAACCTTTCATGCTAAGCCCCTTGAGTGTGACCTAAAGGGGATGGAGACATCTGATAGCTGATGCTTGGCACCGCTCTTGGGATTAGGCCCGGCTGCAGACATACCATGATTTCTCCTACATGTGTCCGTCTGGTATGCGGCATGGCAGATCAACTGGTGTGGTGGCCCCGGCAACGTGTTAAGTCAGTGGGCTGTGAACGGCGGGTCGGGTCCAGTTCAGTACAGAAACACTTGAACACACACACACACACACACTGCCGGTCTGCCCGGCTCCGAGTGGGAGCTCTGTCACGTCTCCCCGTCCCATCAGAGCCACGAATTCCGGGCTCCCCGGGTCGAGCAGCACTCCAAAACTCACATGAGAGGGAGAGAGGGCGGATTAGGGCTTTGGCCTTGTGCAGAAGTAAACAAAAGTCACTGCACACAATGAACAACAAGTCCATTCAGAAAAAGAAATAGTCTCTCTCTTTGAGGGAGAGCTGAGTGCAGGCAGGGAACAGCTGTTAGCAGAGAGGAGCTTGCACTTGTGCACTACGGCTGCTGGGCAACACAACAGGCCTCGCCGGCCAAGACCTATTTGTGGAATAAAGCAGGCGCAATGACCTCCAAACAGAATGAGCTGAGCAGGAGAGTGGATGTCAGTGACGTGATGTAGTTTCCTGGTCTGGGATCAGTTGTGAGACTTCAAAGAAATAAGAGAAGAGGAAGTAAATTTGACTGCAATAATGCTTACAGGTGTTTTAAAAATGGATCATCCAATCAAAAACTCTACTTTTTGTCTGTATATTTTTTGGGTTCAGTGCTTCAATAAAAGATTTGCTTACCAAGCAGTTGATCTGCAGCTTACGGTTAATAAATCGTCTAAGGCCCGGTTCAAACGCAGATTTTTAAATCGTTGGGGCAACTTTCAGAACATGAGCGACCCCACAAATGATGACAAAATTTTCACGGATTTACCGATTTTCCAAGCAACATGGCAAAAACTACACACACCGATTCCACACACCGATTTCACAGTCAGATCCTACGACATCAAACATGACTGCGGAGTACAGACAAACATGGTGGATAAAGGGGAGTGCTTTCTTTCACATTCAACAGGCAACAAGCTTGTTTGCTTTTGGAAAAACTGGAGCAACACAATCCAAAAAGTTTACGATCAAAGCACTCTTAACACACCACACACTATAGGAATATCTGATAAGATCATCTTTAGTGCCAATACGTTAATTGGGTGCATCCTTGTGATTGTTGCGAGGATCGGGTCAAAATTCTCTTGTCATGCTCACCAGGCCTTAGGTAAGTCAGAATTGGCTAAACTCATATCTGCAGGTCAGACCTGTACAAGATGAAAGAAATCTGTGAACCTGTAGACACAAATGAAGGCTGGGGAGACACTTCAGCTTTCAAATTCAACTGTTAAAAAGACTAATGCACAGGGAGGAGATAAGTAGGGGTGCACCGATCTATCGGCTCCAATCTCGTTTTTTTTTCTTCCAAGATCGGTGATCAGCCAAAAACTGCAAATGGTGCACCCCTAGAGATAAGTCTTGCCTTGGTTCTACTAAACGGACATTAGGGGGTGCTAAATGCGTCTTCTTCTACAGTCTCATCTTTAACAGCAATCACTTTTAATCTATGATGTTGTGGGTATGCAGATTTACCTTTTATACTTGTTTTATGAATAGATTTTTTTATGTGTTTGGCAAAATACATCTTGCTTAGTGACAACAGTTGAAAATTAGCTTTGGAGATAACACTGACGCATTTACAGAAATGTCCATTAATGTGTCCTGTTCCTGTCCTGATGAAGACCAGGAGGCGGGAGCGCATTACACCGGCTTTAGAATCATTGCATTGGCTCCCTGTATGTTTCAGGATGAATTTTAAGGTTCTTCTAATGGTTTTTAAGTGTCTTAATGGTCTTGGGCCTTATCTCTCAGAACTGCTTTTACCATATGAACCCTAACGGCCTCTGCGCTCCTCTGGCAGGCGTCTCCTGGTCATTCCTAAAGTCAGGGCACACACTCACGGCGAGGCGTCTTTTCAGTATTACGGCCCTCGCCTCTGGAACGAGCTGCCAGAGGAACTCAGGGCTGCAGAGAATGTTCACGTTTTAAGTCCAGGCTCAAGACCCACCAATTTAGGTTAGCTTTTATCTAAGTATTTACTATAGTTTTAATTCTCGTTTTACATGATTATATTATATGCATGTTTTATATGATTATATTTTAGCACCGTTTTATTATTTAATAGTATTATAATTTTATTGTCCATTTGATTTTTTTATTATTTATTTTCTTACCTTTGTCATTTATATTAGCTCTTTTATTTTCATATTTTACTCATTTTAATCCAGTGTTTTCTCTGTAGGGGCCCTCTGCCCCCAGGGGTGGTGGTCGAGTTGATTCCTGGGTGCTCTACAGGTAGTGTTTAAGTGGAGGTGGGGGTCTATGCTCCCCCTCCTCTGAGCACCCTGACTTAGTTGCTGTGGAAGACCTGATGCTGCCGGGGCAGACGGCTCCTCT